TACACTATTCACTGCACATACAGGTGCACACACCCTGAATGCAACAACCAGAGCGCAAGCTATGACGGTTGGAAGCCCTGCTACGCCCATAATGATTCCATCATTAAATGCAGGACACACATCAGCAATCTTCACTGATGCTGTGTCAACAGTTACAACCCCCGTAACTGGTCACCCTACCTTTGAAGACGTAAACGTTCTACTCAATCGCTTCCTAGATTCCACCATTAAGCCATGGGTGCAAGATGCAATGACCGCTCTAGCACAGGAATTTAGGACCACCCAAGCGGTTCGGTCTGAACAAACACCACCCCAACCTTCCCCTGAACCGTTCATCTCCCATACAAAACCTATATCCTCCACCCCTCTATCCCACCAATCCATAAACCAAATTCCCATTCCCTCTATTTCTCGGGGAACCCAGGATACAGAACCAGTATTCTCCCCACACCCGACCACACCCTCCATCGATCTCTCCTCCCTATCCTTCGATACACTAGCATCGGCTTTGCTGAACAACCTTTTAAACACCCCTGAAGACAAGCTCACTCTTCATCAGCAAGTCATACTTGAAGCCCTTCTTTCTTCACCCGAAACCAAGAGCACTTGCAAGGAGAGTCTTCGTGGTCGCAAACGTTCCCATGAGGACCCCGATAATTCAGATCCTCATGAGGGGGAGAACAAGCGACCTCGATCACTTGAGCAAACTGCTCTACCAAGCCAAACTCCACAACCCATTCAACCCGAAACCTCAACAAACCAACAGCCACCATCCACGGCCAAATTATCTAGCATGGTCGAGCTAGAAATAACATCCTGAGGCGTATCTCCAAGAGATACCAACCGAGGAGGGGATGGAAGTCCTGATGATGTTACCACTGGTACATCTTCTCCATCAGGCCATCAGTTGGAACCTAGTTCTAAGCTGATGTCAACGGGCAATCCAAGTGAACCCGGTAGTGCTACTCAGGAACAATCACCGCCTCAACAAAGAGTTCCATATATTTCCCCAGGCAAAGACATCCACGATGCACTGGAGGAGGCGGTGATATATGACAAATGGCCGCGACAATGGACAGAATGGGATGATCTTCGGAATGAGGCCGAAATAGAGGACATGCAAAGAAACTGGTGGCTACGAGAGCTAATCAACAGATGCTCTGAAGATATTATAAGGCTCGAGGACGATGAGCGCAAGGAAGGGGAGAATTACAAAGAATCCCAGAAAACTCTTGAATCGGTCGTAAGACAAACAGCGGGAAGACTTCCCAAGACAGAGAAACCCTGGGATAATGTTCGCATCAAAGCCCCCTTCCAAGAAGAAATCAGAGAGCATATCTGGCGTAGACCAGACAGAGTCAAGCCACTGAATGAATTGAAGCTAAGAGGCCTTACTCACTTAAAAGGAAAGCAGGCTGGAGGTCATCTGCATATGTTGCTACAAAGGTCAACCGGTACACAGAGAGAACTAATGGAACAAGATCTGAAGTTGAATATTCTCCCGATTCATCAAATTCTGCAAGTAAAGGCTGAAGACTATCATGGAGTAACATTCTACACTTACAGACTTCAACGCACCGATGGGAGCGAATTTACTTGTCAAGAGAACGACTATATCATGTTGAAACCGGATGACATCTACCAAATGTTCATGGCCTACAGATACCTTCCAGTCAGGCAGAGCATAATATACAGTGAAGGTCTCGCAGCTATCAAGAGATTCATGCTTAGACAGATCCGAGTACACTCTTCACATGACCTACAGATGGCTATTGAGTGCAATCTGAAAAAGACAAATCTGACAAAGCCAAGACTGTATGGTCCAGAACTTGAAGATTTCCCAGCCTACCACATCTTCTTCACACCGCCAGCAGTCACCTATCTGAACCACAAAAACGAAAAGCGTCTGATGGTAGTCAGTGAAATTGAGAAGTACTGCGACGGAACACTGAAGATAATCAAAGAACAGATTCTAAAGATGAAGGCAGAGTTAGAAGAAAATCTTCAAGAGGCATCGTCTTATGTTCAAAAGGAACACTCTACAGTAGAGACAATTCTAAAGGCCATTGACGATCGCCTCGAAAAGAGAAATGTGTTGAGGCAATATGAACATGCACTTGGTATGAGGAAGCACTACTTCAAGTCTCAGAAGCAATAAGAGAATGGCACTTGATCAAAAAGGGGGAGATTGTTGGAGATATTTAATTGTGAATCAAGTTGGTCATAGATTAGCTTTATATTTAATCCTTGTATTTAATTAGTGCATGATTTAGATAGAAATCAGGCCAAGTGTTAGGCCCATATAAACAGGCTAAAAGCCTGGTACGCCTAACCTAAACCTCGCCTATAAAAAGGGAGCCGAGGTTTAGGAATAGGTTAACGTCGTACTTATTATTCATAGCCTTACGCGCATATCTTTCTGTTGTACGAGTTCACGGTTTATCAAAGAAGGTTTTACGGTGATTCATTACGTGTTCATCCTTAAGTTTAATCTTCCTTGTTAGATCGATTATTCATTGCTGTTACAGAAACAGGGACTAACATTAATGCCGGCCTAATTGTTGTACAATAAAATTTACCTTTCAGTTTAGTCGGCATACCTCGATCACATAGAAATCCTGAAGCACTTTTCCATTTCATCCACTCAGCTCTGATTCTATGATACACATCTCCATCTAATTCACCATCCTTCTAAATTATGGATCCCAAGTAACGGAACATATCACACACCGGTATCTCCTTACCATCAAGAGTAATCCCATTGTTGCTACTACTTCTACCTCCACCGAACTTGCACTCCATATACTCAGTCTTGCTTTGGCTCAGTTTGAAACCCTTGCTCTCCAATGTTTGTCGCCATACTTCCAACTTTGCTTTAACATCGGATTGTGTCTCATCAATCAATACAATATCGTCGGCAAACATCATGCACCACGGTATATCTTCTTGAATTGACTTCGTAAGTTCATCCATGACTAAAGCAAATAAGAAAGGACTCAGAGCAGATCCTTGATGCACTCCAATAGTAATAGGGAACTCTGCGGTCCTCCCTACACTAGTGCGGACACTTGTAGTACAAGCATCACACATATCCATGATGATGCTGATATACTTACGTGATATGCCTTTTCTAGTTAAGGCCCATCAAAGAACTTTTCGAGGTACCTTAGCATATGCCTTTTCTAAGTTAATGAACACCAAATGCAGATCCTTTTTAGTGTCTCTATACTTCTCCACAACTTGTCTAAGAAGGTGAATGGCCTCAGTTGTTGAGCGTCCAGCATCCTTTTCTAAGACTCATAAGCTTAATCTCTCGATAGTTAGCACATTCTTGTACATCACCCTTATTTTTAAATAAGGGAATGAGAGTACTCTTCCGCCAACTCACTGGCATTTTGTTGTTTCTCCAAATCATGTTGAAGAAACGTGTTAGCCACTCGATGCCTTTCTCTCCCAAACTTCTCCAAGCCTCGATCGGTATGTCATCTGGGCCCACTGCTTTCTTCCGGCCCATTTTTCTCATAGCCTCTTTAACTTCTGTTGTTTGAATCCTTCTCACGAAGTCCCTATTTACCATACACTCGGGTATAGTAAGATCATCAATACCTTGGACTTTATTCCCGTTGAACAAGGTATCAAAGTATGACCTCCACCTCTCTTTTATTTCTTCGTCGTCCATTAGTACCCTTTGATCGACATCCTTCACACACTTAACTTTTCCGATATCTTGAGTCCTACAGTCACGAAGGGGAGCAAGTCTGTAGATATCTTTTTCTCCTTCCTTAGAATCCAACTTTACATAAAATTCCTTATTCACTTTTCCTTTGGCTTCCTTCACAACTTTCTTTGCTCTTCTTCTAGCCTCTTTGTACTCCTCTCTATGTTCTCGTCACTCCAACTTTTGCCCAATTTCTTATAGCATTCTCTTTTAGCCCTTATTGCTTGTTTCTAAATATAATTACAAAATCAGATAAAACATAATTACATAAAATTTAATCAATTAAATATCTTGTACAAAATTTTGTCCAACCATATATGTACAAAAATCTGACCCAAAATTCAATAACCTATCCGTCCCATCTGCACAACACTGAATACTCCTATAGTCCTACCTACCTAATTAAACTAAACAAACACAAAAGGACTATCTGACGGTTCCAAATAAAAGAAGAATAGTGGGGATCACCATCCCACGGTCCTCCTAGAGCCCTAACTCCCACTCCTGCTGTCATAACTTTTAAATCCGACAGGAGTTACTTTTTTTATATAAATAGATTCTATCAGTGGTGCTCCATCATTACTCAATCCCAACTTTATCAATCCCAAGTAAGAGCACCCCCTAACAAATCAAACGTACGTTTGGGATCAGCCAAATTTCCAGGTTAGTTAATTTTCGGTTTTAGGTATAAAAATCTCAAAATTTAGAAATTCTGTTAGATTTAGAATTTGACTTAAATTTCGATTTTAGGACTGAAGTAATTATTTTAGTAAATTTTAAGATTTTAGGAAATTAGAACTTCCTATACACTTTACATTATGAAATTGTGTTAAATTCTATGAATTTAGAAATTGAGATAAATTTCGAATTTAGGAAGTTAGAACTAGTTATTTTAGTTAAATTTTCAATTTCAATTATAATGAATTTCAAAATTAGCTATAAAATACTTGAAAGTTAGAAGGTGTGTTAAATTTAGAATTTGCCTTAAATTTCGGTTTTAGGAGTGTAGAAGTAGTTCATTTAGTAATTTGTAAATTTTTGAATTTACAATGTGAAATTCGAATTTTACTCTTTAATTTTAACTTTTTATTATTTATAATAGTTGAAATTGTAGATGTTTAGAAATTGTGTTAAATTTAAATAGTCGAATTTAAGATTTTAATTTCGCATTTATAGTTATTTCGAATTTTGAAATTATTAGTTATTTTGGTAACTTTTAAGATTTTAATTTTAGATTGTGAATTTAGAATTTTACTCTACATTGTGAAATTGGAATTTTAGAGTTGAACTTAGCTATAAAAATCTAGAAATTTAGAAATTGTGTTAGATTTAGAATTTGAGTTAAAATTCGAATTTATGACTTTACAAGTAGTTATTTTAGTGAGAGTACTAGAAAAGGAAAAAACCCTAGAGAGAGAACGTCTAGAGAGATTGTGTATGACTGTGGCGGTGCCGCCCCGTCAGCGAGGCCACTCCTCCTCCGTTGAATCCTTGGTCTGGACACTCCTTTGCTGAAGTACTTACGAATAAAGCCAATGGAGATCTTTCTGCCAATACGCCTTCAAAACATAAAGGAATGCCTGCTATTAGCTTCACTGATAACGATATTCAGATCTTGGCAGACAAGCATAGACTTTCCTTAATTGGGTACTTTTATCGGGGAAGACCATCTTTGGAGATCATTAGGAAGTCTTTTGAAATAATTGGATTTAAAGGAGCGTTTCAATTGGGTGTTTTGGAAAAGAAACACATCTTGATTCGTTTTGACTCGGAGGAAGACTACATGCGATGTTGGAACCGTCAAAGTTGGATAATTCAAGGACATGTGATGAGGGTGACCAAATGGACTCCGGATTTTCGACCAAATGTTGAATCTCCGGTGGTTCCGGTTTGGATCTTGTTAGAAGGATTGTCAGTGCACCTCCATGACAAGAGGGCACTTTTTGATATTGCTGGATTGATAGGCAGACCTATTAAAATTGACACTGCAACTGCCAATTTATCTCGGCTAGGGTTGGACTCGGGTCCGGGCCGGGTCCAGGTCAGGCCTAGGCCCGGGCGGGCCGGCGGGTCAGAAATGGTGGACCCGGGACCGGCCCGGGTAACCACCGGGTCCGATCCGGGTCCGGGCCAGGCCCATTATAAATTTTTTTTTTTGTTTTCCTCTTCCTAAGTAACCCCCCTCCCACCCCCAACCCCCAAACCACCCCAAATGGCCCAAAATACCCAGCCCAACCCAAAACTTTAAAAAAAATTGCAAAAAAAAAAAATTGTTTTTGGCCCGAACCGGGCCCGGGTCCGGCCGGGTCGGGCCTTGTTTTGGGTGACCCGAGCCCGGACCGGAAAACCCACGGGCCAGGCCTACCCGGACCGGTCACTGACCGGGCCACCGGGTCGGGCCGGGCCAGAACAGTACCGGTCCCGGGCCGGTTCCGGGTCGGGCCACCCGGCCCGAGTCCATACCTAATCTCGGCCATTAGTGGCACGGGTTTGTGTGGAATTTGATCTTACACAACAGATGCCTCCTAAGGTATGGATTAATTGTGGCTCTACTGGTTTTTCGCAGCCAGTGATGTATGAACAAATGCCAGAATACTGCACATTTTGTTTACACTTGGGGCACTCTTTTTTGAAATGTCAAAAACGAAACCCGGATGTCACTAAGCCAGCAGTTAGGCCTAAGGACAAATGGGTTGAAAAGACTAATGAACCACAGACTAAGCAAGTAAGGAAAAAGGGAAGGGAGTTATTACAGACGGAGATACTTTTAATAGGGCTCATACATTGTCTACAAACTCAAATATCAATCTATTGGATAAGAATCAGCCATCTTCTTCCAATCACCCAGCCCCTTTCATCATTGGAGATGATGATTCTGACACGGAGGAAGTATTTCATGAGGAAAGACCACCTGCATTGGAAAAGGATAATAATCAGAATTCCAAGGAAGCAATTCCTGTTTCAACTGAGGTGTCACCTGTGAATCAGGCTGAGTTAAATAATTTGCTTTGCAGACAAATACCTGGGATTTTAAATTCTAGACATATAATGGCTATAAAGGATTATGCTTATCTTAAATCGTTACAAAAAGAGAAGGATTTTGATCCTGATTTAGCAGACAAAGCTTACTATTCTGATGGTGAGCCCAAAAAATCTCTGCAGCCCTTGACGGAATGGGAGATAGGTTGGGATGAGATTTCTGCCAAAGTTGGGGTCATGGCTAACCGGCTACAGTCTACAGCATTGACTGCTCCTCAGTCAGGCTCACAAGAAGTTCCTGCCAGATCAGTTAACATGTCATCAGTTCAGGAGGATAATGATTTCATCACAGTTACTAATAGAAGGGAAAAAAGGAAGGAAGCACCAGATACAAAGCCTAGACTTACACGCAATGCTGCTAAAAGAAGTGAAGGGGTGATTTTGTCAGTTACTGAACAAGAGGTCAGTAATCAGGCTTCTCTAGCTGCGGATGCAGCTTCCCAATGAATTGGCTTGTTTGGAATGCTAGGGGTCTAGAGTCCTCCCGCTCTAGACTTTCTTCCCTAGTAAACCAATGGAGGCTTCATCTGGTTATTATTATAGAGCCTATTGTTAATGCAGACAGAGCACAATCTTTTAAATCTGTGTTAGGTTTTAATGATATGATGCATTCTACTCTTAATAAGATATGGGTGTTTTGGGATAATTCATATATCACAATCTCTCAGACCTTTTGGCATGATCAATTTGTGCATTTTCATATTTCCAGTAGTGTTTACAATGGTTGGATTACAGCAGTCTATGGAGGTCATACTTATATTGTTAGACGAGGTCTATGGCAAGGGTTGAACACTATTGCAGCTACTATGCAGGAACCTTGGATGGTGGGGGAGATTTTAATGTTATTTCTTCTTACAGTGAACACAAAGGCAGATCCATACCTGCTATTAGAGATGTGAATGATTTTGTGGACTGCATTGCAGCTTGTAGTCTCATTGATCTTCCACATAATGGGCCACAGTATACCTGGTCAGGGATTCGCGCAAATGGGAGTGTGGAGGAGGTTAGACAGATGTCTTTTCAACAATATTGCAGTTGATAGGTTCCAGTCAATCAGAATTAACATTCTCAATAAATCTCCTTCAGATCATAATCCCCTCTTGATTCAGTTTGTTAATGTGGAGAATTCTATGCCTAAAGCTTTTCGATTTCAAAACATGTGGGTTTCACACCCAGATTTCCTCAACTATGTTTCATCTAAATGGGCTTCTTATAAGTCTGGGGGAGGTATGAGGGGATTAGTTTACAAACTGCAATCCCTTAAAAGAGATCTCATAGGGTGGAACAAAGAAGTGTTTGGCAACATTTTTGACGAGATTAAGGCTTGTGAAAAGGAGGTTTTATTGGCAGAAAAAGCTTTTTAGGAGGATCCTACTGAGCATAATAGGGAGAATTGGGCACACAAGAGAGGTCTTTTACTTTACAAGTATAAGTTGGAGAAAAAGTTTTGGAAGCAAAAGTCTCATATTAAGTGGATTAAGGAGGGTGACTCTAATACTAAATTTTTTCATTCCTATGTGAAGATTAGAAACAGAACACACGAAATTACCTCCATTGTGGATTCTGCAAGCAATACAAGAGACAATCCTCAACAAATTGGAGAAGCAGCTGTTGATTTTTTCACTACACTATATTCAGAAGATAGTCAGAACAATAATACACAAATTCTCAAATACATTCCTAAAATTGTTTCTGATGAGGAAAATTATGATTTGACTAAACTGCCTGATAGGGAGGAAGTTAAAGCTGCTGTTTGGGAACTGAATCAGAACAGTGCAGCAGGGCCAGATGGATATAATGGTAAATTTTTTAGAAAATGCTGGAATGTGGTTTCTTTGGATGTTCTTAAGGCTGTTCAAGAAGACTTTATGGGTTTTCCTATTCCTAAGGGTATGGCCAGTGCTTTGATTGTACTTATTCCTAAAGTTGACAACCCTAAGTCTTTTGCAGAATTTAGACCTGTTTGTTTATCAAATTTTATGAGTAAAATCTGCACTAAGGTGTTGGTATCTAGGCTCAATGTTCTCTTGCCTGAGATTATTTCTCCAGAGCAAGCTGGCTTCATGCAAGGAAGGGATATATCTGATCAGGTTCTGATTGCTCAAGAGATGGTCCATAGCATTGATAAAAAGGTGAGGGGTTCTAACATTATTATTAAACTGGATATGGCCAAAGCTTTTGATAGGGTTTCTTGGGACTTTCTGGCTAAGATTCTTATCAGTTTTGGTTTCAGTAATCTTTTTTTTAGACAGGTCCTGAATAATCTTCAAGCTACTCATCTTTCTATTATGATTAATGGTTCTCCTTATGGTTTTTTAAGCCAGAGAGGGGTTAAACAGAGTGACCCTTTGTCTCCTTTTCTCTTTATTATGGCTTCTGAAGCATTTTCTAGGGGGTTAAAGCATATTATGAATCAAGGGAAGATTAAGCCTTTTTGGATGGGCTCCAAAGGTTATCCTGTTTCTCATTTAGGGTATGCAGATGACCTACTGATATTTCTTAATGGAGATGCTAGATCACTCAAGAGTTTTAAGAGATTTTTGGAAGCTTACCAGTCTGCATCTGGACAGTTGGTTAATTTTCAAAAGAGTTCTTTCCTTTGTGGAAGAACCAGTCCTGGTAGAATCAGCAATATAAAAAATCTTCTTCAAATGAAATTAGCCACTCTACCTATCAAATATTTGGGGGTGAACCTGCACAAAGGAATAAATAGAATTCAATATTGTGGTCCTTTAATAAATCTATTTAAGAAGAAACTTTCTGCATGGAAGCAAAAGAACCTCTCACAAGGTGGTCGACTTATACTTATTAAATATGTACTGAACACTTTGCCTTTACATGTGTTAGCTGTGGACTGCTTACCTAGGAAGGTGATAAAAATTCTACACAGTAAAATGGAAGCTTTCTTTTGGGGTTCCTCTAGTGAAAGAAGAAAATTTGATTGGGTTAAGTGGGACCATTTGTGCTATCCTACTGAAGAGGGGGGGCTTGAGATAAGATCACTTAAAGATATCGAAAAAGCTTTCACACTTAAGCTATGGTGGAAATGGAGAACTGGGCAGAGTCTTTGGACAGAGATAATCAAAAATAGATATGATGAGGATGTGATGATACCTAAGGTCACAGACTCTGCAATTTGGAGGAGACTGTGTTCTATTCACGAGTATGCTAACTCTCTGTGCTATGTGGATCCCTCTGGAATGGTCATCTGGAACCCTGAAACAAGTGGTAATTTTACACTTTAATCAGCATATAATGAAGTAAGGAGTCAAGGGGCAAGCAGTGAGGCATTCATACATCTCTGGCAACCTCATCAAGAACTAAAGATTCAGCTTTTACGGTGGAAGATGGCTAAAGGGATTCTCCCTGTTTCTGATAATCTCAGAAGATTTAAGATGGTGGTTGAGCCATCTATTTATGCTCTTTGTAGGCAGCACAGTGATGAAATGGAACATTTATTTTTCACCTGTAGTAAAACGAAACCAATTTGGCAGTATTTTGGAGGAATTTTTGGAATTTCGCCTCTTCGCCAAGGATCCATTTTACAAAATTTCAGAGAATGGTGGAGGAAGGCTGGATCGAAAGTTTTGGAAGACATTTTCAAAAATAATCTTGCAGGTATCATTTGCTGGCATATTTGGAAATGTTATTCTAGCATTATTTGGGGAGAAGGTAACCCTAAATCAGTTGATGGTTTAATCACTCACATTAAACATTATACTCAAAATTGGGTTATCACTCTTCCAAAATCTAAAAGGTACTCTAGCAGTAACATTTTACGAGAGGAACATCTAATTCCTTATCAATTTAAGAATACTGGGAGAAAGGTTCAGATCGTTCGTTGGAAGAAGCCCAAAGGGAGACTCAAATTAAATGTGGATGCTAGTTTCATACCTGGATTGGCGTCGGGTGGAGCACCTGGGATGGCGTCGGGTGGAGCTATTCTCAGAAGACAAAACGGCGAAATGGTAGAAGCTCTTAGCTTTCCGATTGATGCTTCCTCTCCTTTGGAAGCTGAGATCCTTGCTCTGAGTGTGGCAATTCGGTGGGCGGTGGGCGCTGGTTTTGATGGCTTCCAGGTAGAGACGGACTCGATGATGGTGATTGAATATCTGAGGAGCAACGAGGCAAGGCGGTGGTCG